ATTTGCCCACTTTCTATATTTCTACCCATTTATAAAATTTTTTTTTTTCATTTATGTATTCAATTTCAGTGTGACGAATTAATTTCTACCGGTGACATAGCTGTGTTTGCCACACGTCTAGGTCCGAATGCCTCTTGGCATCCGGGTTGCTTCATTTGCTGCATCTGCCATGAGCTGCTAGTCGATCTCATTTACTTTCATCGCGATGGCCGACTGTACTGTGGACGTCACCATGCTGAGACATTGAAGCCGCGCTGCTCCGCCTGTGATGAGGTAAGTTGATGAAATGAGCGGACAATACATATTTCAAAGATTTATTTTATCAATGCAGAACGAAGGTTGCAAGCAAAAAGAGAAAGTAGCAATATGAAATGTATTATTTTCAGTCCAACAAAATCACAATTTATTGTATATATATACATATATGTACACATTTAAATATGTTCGAAAACAGATTTGTTTATTAAAAAAATATTTCTTTTAAATTTGTAAATTTAAAGTTTCCCAAAATGAACTGAGCGATGTTAAAAAAAGAATAAATACTTCATGTAATGAATGTTATCAATGGAAAATTAAGAGATATACATACAGGGCAATTCTGCCAACTTTCTTTCAACCCATCACAGTCTTTCGAAATACAAAAGTTTTACGTAAGACATTTGTCAATTTTGGCAACTAAGTATTTTGCTCTTTTACATATCGTTACCTTAATTCACAAAGGCCCTAACCAACACTTTTTTCAAAACTGCGTTTTCACAGATTTCTGTAGGATATATTAAAATAAACTTTCATTAAAAATTTTAAAGTCTTAGTGCCAAAAACAACGGAGTTTTTAAAATGGCCTATCCGTATGCATGTTTTGATTTTTATAATGTTTTTTGCTTCTCCTGTAAAATAAAAAATTCTCTGGTTAGGGCCTTTGTGAAGTAAGATAACGATACGTACCTAAGTATGTTCTAAACTTAAATTAAATAAAAATTGGTATTTTTCTTTTTAAAGAAAATTAAATTAAAAATTCAATTACATGATATATAAAAAATTGTTTTCGTTTTAAAACAATAAAATTAAAAATGATAAGTTCTAAATATGTTTTCTTTTATTTGTTTTTAATAAAAAAGAATTAAACTGAATAAGTTCTAAAAAAGTAAATTAAAAGCGTTATGTTTTTAAAATAAAATAGTTAAAAATTATAAAGAAATTAAATAAAAACGAAATTATTAAAACCGAATGGCAAAATTAAATAAGTTCCGAAAAATTAAATGAAATTGAAAAAATATATTTTTCTTTTTAAAACAATAAAGTCCGAAAATTAAAACAAAAATTAAGTTAAAATTAAAAAAAAAAATCTATCAAAAAATTTGTTCTTGGCAATTGAAAGAAATGAAAAAAAATCCTTCTAAAAGAGCAAAATCTACAAATGAAAAATAAAATAAGTTTCTAAAAATTAAATTAAACTTAAAAACATATATATGTACATATTTTTTGACAATAAAATCTATAAATTTTTTCGCCATTACTTTTACTAAGTATATCAGCCATACTAAATATTCCTAAGGCTTGTTGGAATTAAATTTTTCCGATTCTTCCTCTTTTATGCTTTAACCAGTTATATAGTTTAGGCCGAGTCCAATAAAACACGCCAATCGCTTTTCTACAGTGGCAACTGACGCCAACTGGAAGGCCAAGAAAGTTCAAGTCCTTCTCTACCTTGTTTTTCCATCACAGAGAAAATCTTCCCCTTTGTTCGACACGATCAATCCGGCCGAGCTGCACTAAATATTCTCGTTTTCTTTTCGCTCAATCGCAACGTTGCTCTTTAAGCGGCATCTTTTTTCTTTGAAACGGCTAGGGACTTTATAGATCCCTATAGTAGTGAACTATTTATTTTATTTACTCTTTTCATCAAAATTGGAACATGGTTCGAGGTTCTGGATTCGATACACTCCAGCGGAATATACATACAGTTGTCCACAAAATAATAGGAGTGGGATATTTTAACCTGTTTTGGCTATTTGTCTTTAGTTTATTTAATGTTTCGTATTTTTTTGTAAAAGCCTAGCTGGTAATACAACAAACACCATATAAATTTACATTTTCAAGTTTGTACAAAAATTATAAAAATTCTGCAAATTTTCACCAAAATTTCAAACTATTTAACCAGAATCTTTAGAAAATATGTTGGTATGCAGTTTTATAGCCCATTCAATTCTAGTCTGAGGAAGTGCAAGTTTCAAGCTGCTAAAAAATTCCGTTGATTTTTGAGAATTTTTTCGGTTGAAGGTGTTTCACGTTTTTTCCATACAAAGTATGTTCGACAATTTTCTTTTATATGGGGACAGTGCCAGCAAAAAAAATTGCCAAAAATCAACGGAATTTTTTTGCAGCTTGAAACTTGCACTTCTTCAGACTAGAATTGAATGGGCTATAAAACTGCATACCAGAATTTTCTCTGAAAACTCTGATTAAAAAGTTTGATATTTTGGTGAAAATTTACAGAATTTTAATAATTTTTGTACAAAGGTTGAAATCTGAATTTATTCGTTGTTTGTTGTATACCCAGCTTGACTTTTGTATAAAAATAATAAACATTAAATAAACAAAAGACAAATAGCAAAAACTGACCAAAATAACGCACTCCTATTATTTTGTGGACCACTGTAAGTAGTCCATCGAAGCTTTTTACGTATTCCTCTTTACCACTTTATTTGATTGATCCTCTCGTACTTGTTTGGCTTTTCTCTTTGAGCAGATAAGCATCAGTGTTCTCGTCTAGGCCGCTATAAACGAGTCAAAGCTCTTAGCTTATAAACAAGAAGTTTTAATTTTTAGGAAAATCTATATGGTATTAACTTAAGTTGTAATTGCTTTTTTATCTTATCTGTAAGGTACTGGTGAAAATTATTACTTTATATTTTGAAATGATGATGAAAAATAGCAAGAATTAAATTTGGTAGAAGTTATAGCTGCTATATCTACCACACCCAGATATGTATATAAAGCTTGTGTTCTACCCACTGGTCTAAGCTCGCCCAATATAAACTGTTATTGCTTTTCCAATCGCAACCCAACTTTAATACAAAGCTTTACTTTATGTAGAAAAGTGGTGGTTCTTATCTTGATAAATAAAGTTCGTCCTTAACTTCTTCCCCTTACAAGGCGCCTTGTTGCCTAATATTATAAACTTGGATAATAATTAATTCATCAAATTTTAAAGATTCTGTTTTCAAGAAAATCCGAACAAATATTTTATCATTTTGTAAGTACTTATGAATTTACACTACAGTAAATAATTAAATAAATAAGTTTAATACCTTTCATTTTTAGGCGTCTTAACTTTTTATCAGCTGCAATTTCTGCTATCCACCGCAAATCACGCTCCTTTTGAAATCCGTTTTCACGTGTTAAACCGCAAGACGTAAAACTTTTGCAAACTCACTCGAAGCGTGTGAATCAAAATCTCAACAAAGAGCAACCAAGAGCAAACACCTTCGCTAATTTTTAACTAAGCACTCTGCCCTGCGTTGCTCTGAATGCACACATCCAAGTGTCCTTGCCATAGTACAATCCTGCTAGCAGATTTTCCGAACTCCACTCTACAAAACAAGTATTTCTAATAAAACTTTCACCCAAAGTTTTCGCACCACACACTACCAGCTTCCTCCATCGCAGTACTAGCTTATCCTTTGTGTCTGCCTTAACGTCTACTTTACGTCTGCTTAACGCTTACTTTTCAACTTTTAAATTTATTTATCATTTCTATCTTCCATTCTCTCTCCTTCGCAGATAATCCTAGCTGATGAATGCACCGAAGCGGAAGGACGCGCTTGGCATATGAACCACTTCGCGTGCCAGGAGTGCGAGAAGCAGCTTGGTGGTCAACGGTACATAATGCGCGAGGGCAAACCCTATTGTCTGCTGTGCTTCGACGCCATGTTCGCTGAATACTGTGACTACTGCGGCGAGTCCATCGGCGTGGATCAGGGGCAAATGAGTCACGATGGCCAGCATTGGCACGCGACGGACGAGTGTTTCTCCTGCAATACTTGCCGCTGTTCGCTTTTGGGGCGCGCATTTTTGCCACGTCGTGGTTCCATCTACTGTTCGATTGCATGCAGCAAAGGTGAGCCGCCCACACCGTCGGACAGCTCAGGCACTGGCATGTACACCACACCGACGCCACCATCTCAGCGAGTGCGCCCACATACGCGCATTCCCAGCAGTCACGCATCAAGTTCGCCGCCAATGTCGCCGATGCAGCAACAACAACACCAACAGAGTTTTAGTCAAGCAATGTATCAGTTGCAGAGTCAGCAAATAGCGGCGGGGATAGGTGGAAGTGGCGATGCCGCTGGCGGCAGTGTTAGTGATAGCAGTCCTGGGAGGGTTGGCGGAGAAATAGGTGGGCTCGAGAGTATGCCAGCAGGCATGAGTGCGCCAGGAATGAGCGCCGCAGCCGATATGACGCTTATGGAGGCAACCAAACAGAGTTACCAAACTTCAGACTCGGATGGCGGCGTAGTCAAGGATATGGAGCGCGCAGCCGGTAGTCGCGGCACTGGAGACTTTACCGACTTTTCGGGTGGTGCACCATCTACTTCATCGCAGAATCTATCGCCACTGCTATCACCAGGCGAATACACTCATTTGATGCCCAAACCAATGGAACTTAAATCGGAGGCGGCCTACAACTTCAATGAGATGGCGCTAAACTTGGATGCCGCTTGGCCTGCCAAACCGCC